GGAAGTGTACATCAGAGCTGCTATTTTTATGTAAAATGATTAACCAAGGTATTATTTTTCAGTATCTATGTGATTAAAGCTTATGCGTATACGTTTTTGTAGATAACTTCCATGTCGGTACGGTAATTAGTTGAAGGTGGTTGTCAGAAAATACTGTTTGATTTAGGTTTCTTGATAGTTTCTATCGTCATGAAGGTACTGGTGCTCCTCTTGGGATTCAGACCTGCAAAACCTAGCTTCTCAGTTTGAGATATCACAACTGAAGTATTCAGGCCGCAGTTGAGATTCTGTATGGTTGAGGCATCCATGATTGATTGATTAGTGTGTAGTGCAATATCATGTTCGTTTAGTTCCTAGAATGGATCGAATTATCTCGATGAAGTTGTGATTCAACCACTGGTTTAAGTGACCCGAAATCGTTTATTCTATATTGAAGTTCTAGGTTACGACTTTCTGAATATCACTAATCCATAGTTTATATACTACGATTACTCTTACAGTTATCGAATGGTTGTCACTATTTACTTGTTTGATCGCATGATTTTTGACCTACTAATTAAAGTTTGCCATAATATGAATTTCCTTAATCAATCGCTAATATGTATATGGTTTGTTTCTTATTCTGTGCAGATCCCAACTCCAGACACTTCAGAGATAATGAATTTGATGTGAAAGTCTCTGAAGTGTTCAAAATAATTACCAAATAAAGAGAAAACTCAACTTCAATGCATTCGGTACATGTCGTTCCCATCAAGAAATTTCAATCTCACTTACGTGTACAAGAAGGAAGTGTGGTAAATCTCTCTTTGTCATGGTTAATGCTTTTGACCAATCATACAGTTTTACTTTTTATTGACCCATTGAGGCTCTTCACATTATCATTTATAGTTCTGGTTGAAACATCTTGTGCGACTTAAACAATTAGACACCATTTCCTTAACCGCTAATCAGATATCGTTTACTCCTGAACTCCGAAGCAGAAAAGGCCTAAAGTTTTGAATTCAACCCCTGATAGTGAGGTTGTGGATGCAGATGGCTAAATAGTTATCTATTAAAACGAAAAATCATCTGTTCAGTGCTTCCACGTTGTTAGTGGCAGTCTAACCAAGATCAGTTCATGATTTCAATGAAGTTTAGTTATATTCATTGAAGTATATGTGTGAACATCGTATTGACACATTGTCTTCTGAATAGTGAGAGAATGTTTCCGATGTATTTCTCGCTTCCCATACACTAAAGCCTTCTTCATTATGAGTTTACCTCACTGGAGTAGTTATTGAATAAAGATCAACATGGATGAAATAGACTCACTTCTGTCAATCTAAGACATTAACAAGTGCAAGCAAGTCTATTGCCTATCAACTCTTTTTATGTTTAATCATAATTAATGTTACATTATAACTACTGAAATCAGATGATATTCAGCGGTTTTAACTAAAAACTAATGGATGCGCACTGCCAGGTTTTCCATGGTAGTCTATTTTCAACTATTAAAATTATATCAATATAGGTTAACTTATACCGTGTCAACTACACTGCTTTTGAGGCTTCTGTTACACTGATCATCTCCTGCATTTGTTCTTGAGTGTGCGACAGAAAAGTCAAATCATCTGCGAAGTCTAGATCGTCCTGCTGCACCCTAGCTGTCCACTGTGTCTTGTGCTTCTCCTCAGATCTTGACGTTTTCATAATCCAGTTGATCATCAAGAGGAAAAGAAAGGCTGACAGTAAGCAACTTTACCTGACACCGGTCTTCGAATGAGTCTGTCAAGTAAATATTAATTACTTGTTAATTATAGTCCAAACTTGATCTAATCGATATGTATTAGATTCATTCATTATATTCTGAAAGTTGTTCTTCTAGAGATCCTTTATTGAATGTTTTAATCAATAATGATTATTGATTGGATGAATTGTGTTTCAAATTCTGACTTTGATATTTATTAACCTTTTACCAACTATTTTTTCTCCTTTACACTCCCTCTCTCCCTCACGGTGTTGTTGTTGTTGACGAGGATGATGATGATGATAATGAGAATGATCTTCAACAACATACACGTATAGTAGTTAGGTCTAAATTGTTTTCATATATCAGTTTATTAGAGAATTTTATTTATTACACCAAATATCATATGATTAGGTAGAAACGAAGTAATCAACAATGAATGACGTCTAAATTAGTTTGGGTATTAGTTAGGTATTATGAAGCCTTCAAGTATCCTTGTTAAATACATTTTTTTCAAATAATTTCAAATCATTTTATTGGAGTGTAACAATTCAAACATAGTATTAATGGTACCAAGTTCGAGTCCTGGAGTGAACATCAACTTTGGGATGCAGGTATATCTAGTTGACGAGTCCCAAATGAGATGAGATGTGCTTCATGAATCCTACTGTTAGTTAATAGCCACTTTTGCTTATAATGCTTGTAAATTAAGGCAATATCGAGGCAGTCCGCATAGGAAGCACATATACCAATAAGAGACTGATCAATTACAGTCTTAAAGATCAATGAGAAGATATAAGTAAACAATACCAAGTGAATTTAAACTTCATTAGATAGTAAAAGCAAGTGACCATCAGGACTCAGTAGATAAGTGGATGATGTGATGGCATTTAAAGCGAACGGTATTGGGTTCGAGTCCTGGGGTGGACATTAATTCTGGGATATAGGTACATCCAGCTGACGAGTCCCGGACAAGGATGAAACGTGTGTCCTGTATTCCACTGCTAGCCACTATCAATGTTTAAATAGTTTTAATTATCATGTCAACTTCTGAAATTGTTTCGATGATGTAAATATACCAGGAATGTTGTAAATTTTATAATTATTTTATGAATTGTTATTATTGTATAATTATTATGTAATTAGATTTCTATATTCTCTTCATTGTAAGCTTCTAATAGATTTCTTTACTATGGCTAGTTAATTATTCATCTTTTTCTTCTATTTTGTTCTACTTTTGTTGATGTACAATCAGGAAATTTATCCAAATTGTTGTATTGTGGTGCGTGCTACTTATATTGATATAAGTGGTATATAACACGAGTCAGGAATGTAATGTCTGGCAGCAGAAGATAGGGAAGATCAAGAAAGCAAGAGCAGGAATAGAAAGCAATTAGTATGAAAATACAAGAACAATGAAGTTCGAGACAATTATTGAACATTTTGCAAACTAAGTATTATAGTATGGTTTTTCTATTTTACCAAGTAACTCTGTAGTGCTGTGTTAAGTATGATCCGATTGTCCTTACCTATGTTCACTACTGTATGGATTGATTCACATAAGATTGATTTACTAACTTCTGTGTTCTATTATTGGGTCAAAGACTGGCCCGGAAGAAGGGGAGATATTCTGGACCAACAGGAGTTGGAATTACTTTTGAACTTAAACTTAAGCTTAACCTTGGCAGTCAAAGCGTATAATTGATTTTGTGTTTTTTTTTAAAAATCACTTCATATGAATGACCTAAACAGCTATAGGATCTAGTTATGACCATTTAGTTCTATCTTTTTCAGCTCTATAGTGTTTTTGTTTGGTGTGACTGTCCATAAGTCCCGGTTATAATCTCCGGATCATCTTGGATCTTTGGTGAACTACAAAAATGCAGGTACACAAATAATGATAACGTTACCTGAAAGGAACGTAAGTAAAATAAGTTAATGATATGAAAAGCCATTATACCAACAAATACTTGATAATGGCAAGTAGTTCCGAGTTCACATGGCTCAGGGATAATTCCACAATAATTATATGACAATATTAGATGTAAATTATTAGATATGTTTAAATTTTAAGATATATTATTAGCCAGAATAATGTTCTTAACATGCCCTCATATGGCCATGCGTATATAGCTTCTGACAGGGAAGTCCTACTTATTGCCTCCTTGCACCACGGGTGTTCTTTACGAAATTGAGAAGACGAAAAGCGAGACTCCCGCTTTTTAACCAGGACATGGAGAGTCAACCTAGGGGAGTTGGAAAACCCTGATTACAAATCAATGGTGTACATTGGCTCCAAGATCCTGAGGGAACAAATGGTGTATGGACCTATTGTTGGTCACTGTAAGACTGCTCCACTATCTTGTGGATTAGACCTCCAGGTCAAAGGCTTAAGGAGTGGCTCACTAAGAAAACCATGTGCTTCGGTTTGGGTGCCCGGACAGTATTCCAACCCTCACACAAATCGAATGGTTTATGCGACGCATATGTATTTAGTGCCTCTTTGTACTAATGTTAATATGTTTAAATAAATTACTTAATTGATTAAAGCTAGACCACCATGGACAGCCATTTCATCCTAGTATGGGACTCCTCAGCAGTGTGCATTCACGAAAGGTCCTGAGTTCGAATCCCGCATGCGGAAACATAAATCCGCATTGTTAAACAGCCCCATCATAAACAAATCTCTAATAACTAATATTCACTTTTATATCTATTTATTTTTGATGAATACAACATCATATTATTAGATTGTAGTTTTCAATTTTATATATAACTTAAAAACGATTGCCAATACTACTTAAAATAACTAATTATTGTATTTCAATTTGGATGTAGGTATTTGGTTACCAGGAGAGAAAAAACCACAAAAAAAGATACTTCTTTAAGGTCAATGATTATTTACAAATTTTATTATCATGTAATTAAAGTTCATTTACTGATCTATTTTAAGTCAAAGGAGATTAATTGAAGAAAAAAAACAAAAATAAAACGCCTGTTTTCAACAGTATTTAACACCCCTTTCTCTTTTCCCCCTCCCACCACTTTTACACTAAAGAACACTACGTGAAAAAAATCACCTGTTTTGAATAATATCTAACACTCCCCCCTCCTGTTCCATCAGTTTTACATTAAACAACACTAGATGAGAGAGAAAAAAATGATGATGATGATGATCTACAATCACTACTCTATTTAATCATGAGTGGGTGTCTTATTATGAGAAACAATAACAACAACAATAACAAAAACTCCATACAAAACAATTTTGGCCATAAATAAATAATAGAAGTGTACTTTTATTTGTAATTGTGGGAGAGAACAAACCAGATCTCAGCGGAAGAAGAAATCAGGAAGAAGTGCTGGAAGTGGATAGGACACACATTGAGGAAAGCACCCAACTGCGTCACAAGACAAGCCCTCATATGGAATCTTCAAGGCCAAAGGAAAAGAGGAAAACCAAATTACACATTACGCCGAGAAATGGAAATAGACATGAAAAAGATGAACAAGAATTGGATAGAATTAGAAAAGGAGGCCCAGGACAGAGTGGGTTGGAGAATGCTGGTCGGCGGCCTATGCTCCATTGGGAGCAACAGGCGTAAGTTTATTTGTAATTATTGAAAAATAAGTATAATACGTTATTACGTAATCATTAATACGTTCATTCATTAAGAAGCAAATGTCTGACGCATTAACCGGGTTAATGGATACGGAGAGGTCGCCTAAGGAAGTTGGAAAACCCTGATTCCAAACCAATGGTCCACATGGGATCCAGTATCCTAAAGGAACAAATGAAGTATGAACCAATTGTTGGCCACTGGTTACCATGGGATCGCATCTCCTGAGGTTACTACAATGCCTTGTGGACCAGACCTTTAGGTCAAAGACTTGAGGTGTGACCTTCTAGGAAGATCACCTGGTTCGGTTTGGGCACCTGGGCAGTATCCTAGCCCTAACACAAATCGAATGATGGAGTGTGGCGCATATGTATTTGGTGCCTCCTTGTACTAATGTTTATGTGTTTAAATAAATAAATAATACTAGTTTCATCATGAGAGTTTGATAGTGATGTGAACAGAGAAACATAGAAGTCATGATAAACAATGGAAATTACTTCATTAACATTCATTTCTGTCCTTAGCTTATTCTACAAACCATAAGCTTACATTTAATGTATGTTTCATTGCCATAATTTTTTCTGTCAAAAAGCTATTGTAAATTAAACGTAACCTTTTGTACTTTCTTCATTGTGTTGTACGTTGTGGTCGTGTTGTTCATCTATATTTACACTAATTTGAATCAGGAATAAATCGAGTAGTGTTGCAGTTGATTTATTTTCTCTTTCGCGCGTGCTTTTGTCAATCAATCAGGTGATAAAATACTTTTCATCTGTTTACCCAAGGCAGTTACTCTCACTTCAAACTCACATGTTTCTAGCCTCAAAGTTGAACTAGTTAGCCTATTGTTTCAATGCCTTAATCTAGAATAAGACAAGTTATCCTCTGTATATTAGAGGGTAGATAGATCAAGGACGTAATAGATAGTATTATTAGACTCGAACAAGTATAATTTCATAACAACTATGTAAACATTAATGTAACTTTGAACAGATCTGTGTACTCAATTTTGAGTTATAACCTGTTTATATGAATGGTAGTGGTTATATGCATTTCATCAACTGAAAACTTACGTATGTTGTTCAGGGTCTAAATCTACAATTGAATAGTTAAAAGTCATGTTAGAGTCGACATATTTAGATTTCTTTTTTTCTAAGTAAAAGAAACATCACTGAAGATAGTTAACTATGAGAAATAATCTTCTGCTTTTATACTTTGAAATGACTTCAAGGACTAATACCACGTTTTGGTTTGGCCGCCCCTAACTTTCTCCAAACTGTCTCCAATACTAGTCAGAGTTGTGCGTTGTGGTAATCGGTGTTCAAGCATAATAAGTCTTTGATAACCTATTTTTCATAGAAGAAATTGGTGTTCTAAGAGAAGTTTTTAATGGTAATGATATGATGAAATCTTAATTGTTAAGATTAATAAATCGAATAGTAATTGATGAAAGAACACAATGACTAAGTGATGAATATTCATGAGACTGTATTTTTAATGTATAGTCTTACAATAGAATAAGTGGAAGTCGTAGACAAGATCGCTTGACAGATGAACAGAATCTTTTATGTAAGAAAATAATAGGTTTATTTAATAGAGTATAAATATACAATGAACATGATGATAATGTCATAGGTGGTTAAAGAAAATCAGATCACATTCTCCGGTATAAATTAGGATTCAATTTGAAGCACAATTAGATGGTAGCTAATAGAAGAATCCAGGACGCGCGTTTCGGCCTATTTGGAACTCGTCATCTGGATGCACCTGAATCTTAGAATGGATATTCACTTTAAGACTCAAGGCAATATCGAGGTAATCCGCTCAGGATACATATATGTCAAAAGAAACTCATCAATCGCAGTCCTAAACTTCAATTACTTTTATGGATTTCGAAGCGAAAGGTACTGGATTCGAGTTCAGGAGTGAATATGAACTTTGGAATGCAGGGACATCTATTTGACAAGTTCCAAATAGAACGAAAGACAAGCATCCTTGATTCTACTGCTAGCCTCCATCCATTTCTCTTTAAAATTCTTATGACTTACTGACAATATTGAGACAATTCGCACAGGATACACATATGTCAATAAGAGATTGATCCATTGCAATTCTAAACATCAATGAAAAGATACAAACAACCAATACAAAAACGAATTTCTTTCTGTTAGAATAATGAAAACCAGAACTGGAATGTTTACTTCTTACTTTTATGTTTATGTTTATGTTTAGAATGTTTTTTGTGTTTTTTCAACTTTTTAAGTACCGGAGAAACAACATCATTATCATGATGAAAACGTTTGTTTATCTCTGAACTGGAAGTCCTATGTTTAGATGATAATGATGGTGATGATGGCGATAATGCTGATGATGATTGTCTTCTATCATTCCATTTCGATGATTGATGATGTGTATGCTTTAAAGTTGATTTGGATGTATTTCTATAAGTTTCTTTGTACCGTCGAGTTGTTGTTGATGATGATGATGATGGAGAATCGGAAGGAGAATAGCGTTGTATTCGTGAAGTATCCAGTGTTTTATATTTGTGCGTATAGTGACTTCTATGAACATCTTCAGTTGGATTTGAATGTGATTCTACACTACTACAATCAAGAAAATTATTTTTTAAAAAGGAAAAACTGTAAAGGAAATTTGTGTAAAACATAAACTCAGATTCAATCATTCTCACAAACACTCTGTACTAACAGTAATGATTGTACAATCACCATCAGAAACCGATTTTAAATGGTACATTTTAAAGCTCTAACGAGAAGTTATGACTAGTGAAATATCAGGAATTGAAGTTAGATATTGTTATAACTTGTGACCGCTGATTAGACAGTAGTGACTTATCGATCGGATCAATGACGCGTAAACCTGTATAAGCAGCCTAGAGTCTGATTGGCCCTGCTTTCCACCTAGCCCAGCCAATTAAGTCCAGAAAATCAGTCTCAGCCTTTGCAATATGAATCATGTATTTCAAGCATACTCTGTTTATATACCAATCAAGTAGACCACAACGTATCATAAAATAGAAAATAACATTTGTACAATATTTGGCCAACAGGAAAATGACACATGAAATAAAAATGGACCAATCGGAAAATGATGCCATTTCAAGTTCAAGTTCAAAACCTGAAAACCTTAAGTTCTATTCGCAGCGAGGTTATTGGTGCGTTTTTGAGGAATACCATAATAGAACAAGACAGTTTCATACACTGTTTTTTTTTGGTTTTCAATGGTTGTCTAACCAAGATCACTTAGTGATATAAACTATTGTGTTAGCTAAAAACGTAAATGTATTATCAACTCAGCGATGTAGGTACATCCAGCTGAGGAATCCCAAATAGGACGAAACGCGCGTCAAATTGGATTCCACTGCTAGCCACTATTCATCTTTGCTTAAAAAGTTTGTGACTTCAGGCAATATCGAAGTAGTCCACACAAGATGCATATTTACCAATAAGAGACTGATCAATTGTAATCCTAAGCATCAATGAGAAGATATAACAAGTAAAACAACACCAAGTGAACGTATTATTAACGCCTAATGTTTTAAGTGACAAACATATTACTATTATATATATTCTTATTGTATAATTATTAGTGTTATATTCTAACGAAGAATAAATGAGTGATAACTGTTAGGAATTATTTATGGATTGTTATTAGATATTTCTCTTCTACTCACAATCACTTTTGACTTGATCTTGTATGATTTTCATTTTTCATTTTATATTGTGATGAGATCTGATCTGCTTTTATATAAACCAAGTTTATTTGAAATATGCGATTCATAAAGTGGAGACTGAGATTACTTTCTAGACTTAATAGACAAGGCTAGGCGAGAAACTACTATACAGAGGAGCAATAAGGACTCAAAGTTGACTCTAGGCTGTTCGTGCTGGTTAACGCGTCATTGGTTTGGCACAGCGCCAAGGTCACACAAGACGGTATTCTAACTGGTGATTCAGTCACGTGATATATGACGAAACTTAGGACATAACAATCAGGTGACTAGATTGCCATGTTTATGTATTCCGTTCAACATAAACTTTTAGTTGACTCATTAACTACTGTTATACAATTCACTATTCCTAAACTGTTGCCTTTATGAAATTTAATCTCCTCTATTCACAAACCTTATGGTTTGTTCATAAAAATTGTTATTATTGTTTTACGATGTCATGTGGTGTGGTATGTGTACATATAAGCCACATTTATATGGAAGATAAACATACATTAGAGGCTGGTTGATGACTTTTGGACTCGATGGAGGCTATAGAGCGAAGCTTGAGAAGTACGGACCAATGGGAACTTGACTATGTTAGTTCAAGGTCAACAATGCTAGTCGCGCATGTAACTGGCCAAGTCAAAGATATTAGGGTATAGAGGAAACAAGTGATAAATTAGAAATAGGATTTTGAGTTGGCATGTGATATTGATCAAGGGGTTAAAAGGAACAACGATAAGGCATTTATAACTCAGGACATAGCTATTCAATCTGAAACATTTCAGGGAAAAGACTCAAGTCAACTAAGATACATGTCCCTATCTGGGTCAACGCGATCACCTATAATTACTCATAAGTTATATCAGTATTCCACTTTGATAATATACACCTTCTTACGTATTCTTTAGTAATAGTAGCTAAACTGTATTGCAGATCATAACATAAGTGACATAAACGTAAATATCAATATTAAAATAACATATAAACTAACAGTTGGTCAATATTTTAAGTGAGAGACCACAACAGAAGTTGAAAAACCAATTCCTACGCTTCTCACAGTAAACAAGTGGAAACTTTTCCGATAGTAGGCTTCAAATAACCACATTAAAACATGTACAAGTATACATTACGTAGTAATTAGGAATCCATATATAAATATTCACTTCAAACCATTAAAATAAGGTAATAACAGTAGAAATGATAATAATAATAATACCTCTATAACTCACCTAGATCTTCTATCTTCAGACTGTTGTTCCGACAATTCTTGACTGGCTGTCAACATTTCAGTTTGTTGCGCTATAATTTCACGTAATATCTGAGAGAGAGATCAAGGAAAAGAACAACTACATCCTAATTTTATCGTATATTTCAAGTGAAACAGCTTAGAAAATTTTGTTGCAGACGACCAACAGTGCTGACCGAAATTTACAAAAACAAATCAAACTACTCGTATGTATTGAAAGTAGTATACATTTACAATAGATACTAGTAGGTCCTCTAGTTTACTGACTTTTAAAGGTTTAAGTATTTATAAATAGTTGTCTATGCAAGATACTCAACATATATTGGCCGGATATCATCAGCAACAGCCTTCTGTGGAAGAGAACAAACCATCTTCCAATTGAAGAGGAAATTAGGAAAAGACGATGGTAGTGAATAGGACATACATTATGGAAATCATCAAACTGCATCACGAGGCAAGTTCTAACTTGGAATCTTGAAGGGAAGTGGAAAAGAGGAAGGTCAAAGAACACATTACGCCGGGAATTGGAAACAAACATGAAAAAGATATATGACAACTAGAAAGAGCTGGACAGGATTGGATTGAGAGGGATGGTGTTGGGTCTATGCTTCTCCACGAGGAGTAACAGGCGTAAGTATTTTTGACTTAATCTTCTGTATGATTTTTGCTTTTTTTCTCATTGATTGCCACTCCTTTCATCTTGTCGAATTTTTGTATGCTTGTAGGTCATGTTTTCATTACTACATATGCAGGTTAGTACTGATCCGTTTTGTCTGGTTTCTTCTACTTCGAATATCGAGTTTTTCTACGGTTCGTGTTATCCTTAGATTAGTTGACAACTGTTGTGTCCCAGCAGAACTGCTTACATTATAGTAACTTAGTCATTCCTGATTCCCTCAGGATTGTCGGCCGATTATGAGCCCCAAATATCAGGATTTAAAAGACAGTGATATTCATATGGAGGAGCAATGACTTAATCGATTGAATTGAAATGAACATATGAAATTGATCGTTTGTGATACGTAATCATATCTTAAGCAGAAGTGATTATATGACTTAGTCAATCAGTTATGTGTGTTGGTTGTAAGATGCTTAATTGTATGATATTGTCAATATGTGATCCACACAGTAAATTACTGATTAGTTAGTGTCAAGTACTACGTAGTTTAATCTATACAAATCTGACTGTCAATCTAACTGTAAATGAATCTTATAAGAAGTGGTGTGTTTCTACATCATTCTGGTTTATTCCTGAGGTCAAGTGAGTCTTTATCTAAAGTTGTCGGGTTATTTTTTTTTACTTGCATCATCCGATTCTCAGGTTTCCTAGTATCAAGTCGGATAAGCATTTCCGAAGATACAACAGATATATACGTTTACTATATACATGCCCAACTGTTAAAAAGAGATAAGATTATTTAGTTTTTTTGTTACTAAAGGAAACTTGCTACTATCCAATTGAGTGTTATCATTTATAACTTGTTACGTATCCAACGGTCACTGGATTGCATTATATAAACAGAGTTGTTTCATTTGTTTTTCAACTTCTACTAAGAATACAAAGCTATTTTAAAAGTACCATCTTCTTATTGGCGGTCAGAACAAAACATGGCACAAGTCCATGAAGTCACTGACAAGTAGACTGAGTCATATTGGTAGGTGTAGACTACCTGGTTGGGGACCGCGAGATGATAGCAACCGATGGTTAGAGACCCTGAATGACATGGCTCAAAATAGTATGCAATGACGCAGGTGCATCCACTCTTTGTGTTCTCCCAAATTCTAATCTTCTAAATTCTTCATGTTCCTTTTTTCCTCTTTCCAAATTTATTTCACTGAATTATACTCCTTGAATAACATCTTCAAACCTTAATTTTTCTGATTACCGCTTATAATTTTACTACATCTAGCATTACGGGATTTGAAGCGACCACTGCATCTGTGTGCTAATGTGGTGTGGCAACTCGAATTGATGTACGTACGTACGAAGTTCTAAGTTGTTACTCACTGACTGACTGGCGTGTGGATTAATAATATTGAAGTGTTTTTGTGTGTCGATTGTCGTCTTATCAAGTTCAATGGTTCTGTATTTAGCAATTATCGTAGACCTTTGAGGAACCCAATCTCAAGATATAACATCACCAAGCTACTTGAATGAGAAAACCAAAACAGAATAAGAAGCTTTTATTGGCAAACCGAGTCAACTATATGAACAACTCATTTATAAATATAGACATATGTCCCTCTGAAGATTAAGTCAAAATCTTGACCAAGAGCATGCATTCATCAGCAATCTCTAACTTATCAATTGGTCTTCGATTAATATATCTGATTGGGTCAGTATATCAAGATATATATATTTGTTACTCATTGTTTCTATTTGGATTTTGAGTTTCAGTATTACATCACTAATTCACTCCATATTTTCTGACCTTTTCATTATTATAGCTAACGCTTTAATGTCAATGACTTTTATATAGTCAATGTCATTGCCTTCTTGTGATCTGAATTAACGAAAGCTTGGACTAATACGAGTTTGTGACAAGTTGTATAGATGCTTACTATTTACTGTGTAAACGTGCATCACATACTATCTATCAAATGATGAACTCATGAAATCATTGTCGAGTTTGTTATATAAACTACCATGATTATTTATTTATTTAAACACAAATATTGATTTGTGTGAGGGTTGGAATACTGTCCGGGCACTCAAACCAAAGCACATGGTTATCTTAGCGAACCACCACCATTCGAGCCTTTGACCTACAGGTCTAATCCACAAAGCAGTGGAACAACGTCAGGAGATGCAGTCCCATGGTAGCCGGTTATCAACAATAAGTCCATACATCATTTTTCCTTCAGGATCCTGGAGCCCATGTGCACCATTGGTTTGTAACCAGGGTTTTCCAACTCCTCTAGGTGGATCAATATCTACGAACCCGGTTAAGGCACCGAACATTCGCTTTTTGTTATCGCAGTTTCGTAGAGAACACACCCTTCTTGAGAAAATGGTGAATAGGACTTCCCTGATAGTGGTTGTATACACGTGACCATGTGAAGGCAATTTGAGAGGGTGAGCAAACTTTCCTCACCCTCAATCGTACCAAGGTATTTGATGATACCTTGAATTCATTTACACTGAAGATAATTTTGATAGAATGCTATTAAGAGTCTTCAATCAAGACAGGTAGAACAACTCAAGAAACATTTCCATCAGCATATATGTATATATATATAATTAACAATTCACATACTTCAGTATAAGATTTTCTTGCAGTATGTATTCCTCTATAGCTTTGACGACGTCGTTTTGCATCTCTCATCATAGATAAAACTTCTAATTTAGATACATCTTGTGATGAATTATTAGCTATAAGTTATTGAAAAAAGAAACAATATTAGAATCAAGAAACAAATAAGTAGTAAGCCATTTATGTTTATCTGTAAATGTTTACCATCACTCTTACTTTGACAACATACTCCATAGAGTATCAGTTCCCTCAGAATTATATGTACACTATACTAAAGGGTATTAGATAATATGAAACCTAAACCAAAGAGGGGGTTTCCTGTCGACGACATTCAATCATCAACTAACATTCCTTTTTTATCACTATATGCTTCTCTAAATCATAAACGAATAAGTAAAATACACAAAGAACCGTTGTGGTATTTGTTGAGTAATATGATACACTAAAGATTGTGAAGATTTTATGGTCTGTAAAAATAGACACTTAGCAGAAAACTTCTGGGTTAAAACAAATTATAAACACAGAAAAACTATGCCAACAAAAAACAGTGGCCAGGAAGCTTGAGTAGATAGCCAACTAATAGATTAAATGATTATCCCCAAAAACTATATTATAATTTGTCATTATTTTGTAGGAGTCTAAGATACCTAGTTGTCAGGAATTTGGTGGTTGGAGCAGTGTTTGAATGTGTAATTCACTGTTTGAAAACCTATAACTATAGTTCAATAATTGTAACCACTGTGGAGATTGTTGAGTTTCATTAAGATCATGAAATGATCAATCTTAGACCACCATTGAAATTCTGGAAGCATTGAATATCCGTTGAGTATTAACATGGGATTTCTCAACAGTGCATCCACAACCCCTCAAGCAGAAATCGTATCCAGGAACTTTGGTTTCGTGCATGAACTATTAACATCTAGACCATTGAGCGGGGATCCAACTGTATTAATATCTAACTTTAATCAGTTCATACAAGAACGAAAAGGTCGTTCAATGCTTTCAGGTTTTCAATAGTGGTTTAATATTGATCAGTTCAGGATTCTAATATTCCATAAACAAAAGTAAACAGTATCAGAGTTCTAACTAATTGTTGTCTAATTAACACTTAACAAACTACAGACATTTGTCATACTTTTTATGAAATAATGCAACTTCACCTGAAGCTTTCTAGGCGTTACTGCATATATGAAGCCTGTATAAAGAGCTTAATTAAGTGATTATGAAATAACCTACATAGAACTAAGAAATATTTCAATTTACAGAGATTATTGTAGCTAGTACGTCGATATTTGATTACGTGATAGGCTTCGAGTCACATTTTTCATCAGGTAAAATGTTGATGATACATATCGGTTGGCCACAAACAAAAACAACGTGACGTAACATATTGGAGTTGTTGTATTCTGTAAAGTATGTTATTTCATGTTTCCTAAGGTGCGTGAATTTTAATAATGACCATTTTCAATATTGAAGTAATTTCTATCAATCATTTAAGTCAATCACGTATCTTAAATTGCTCGAATGTACAAAATAGAGAAAAAAAACAACATTAAAATTCTTCAAGTTAACTTTCAACATACTCATTTTGAGTTAAGTAGTATAATTATTTTTAACCATAAATAATAATCCGCCTTACATGACCGATGAGATTTATCTGTGGAAAATGCCTGCATATTCATAATCCAAGATGGATCATTTGTCCAATCACATGTAGGTTGAGTACATTCAGCCGTACATATACTAGAATTGGGTATCATGACATCCTGTAGGAAAAAAAGTTTTGAAAATAAAGGCAGGTGATCGTTAATAAGTGACAATTACCTATAATAACCTTTCTTCGCTATTTCTACCTTATTGTCAAGACTAGAAACATAGGAAAACTAAAAGGTGCATGGTAATCACTGTTCCTAAAGTAAAAGTCACATAATATAGTACAAACAAGTAAGTTATGTACGATTGCTGAGACGGTTATAAAATTGATGTATAAGTAAACGTACTAACTATTCCTTAACATGATATACTGGCTGTGTTTACGCATTTTAGTCTCAAAAGCCTCATAATCTTTGTGTTTTGTCAAAAATCGTAAGGGTGCTTTCTGAAGTCAGTCTTTGCACGTGATGTTTAATGTAGTTATTTCCGAAACTATATGTCTTGGTTAAACTTGTTGACACCTTGATACAAACCGGACAATTATCAGGAAAAACTGACCCCAAGAAAACAGACAGCTGGTGTTTACTGTACTTTAGAGGACCATGTCAAATGTCCTAAAGAATCATGGAAAATTCGTCTTCAGATGTGAGTAGAAAGGTACGTTCCGTATCAACTTATCCGAATACTCTACTTTATTAAGGTGTTGTAGATAACAGAGTCCAGATAGGTTCCTATTTCTGCTGGTCTAAAAGGTTTGATCAGAGTAAAAATAAACCATATTGATAAGTAATATAATTTGGTTATCTCCATTTAAATTCCATCTGATTTTAACCGGGATATACCAAATTATAATCTGTTACCGATTGAATAACTACAATGGGGTTTGTTCGATAGATATTGTGATAAAGACGTAGTCAGTCTACTATATGGAGTTGCTAAATGAAGAGTATTTGTACATGTTAACGGCTACTGGGCTATCATAAATGCTTCAATAGTTTGAAAGTTTATCAGGTTGAAGTTAATGGAAATTGTAATGAAGTATTCTGAGTAAGTATTAAATACACTTTTTTCCAGGAATAAAACCAAACATGGAGTTTTGAAGTGAATACTTTGATACATAATATCTATCTGTTTACATGGTTGTTCATTATCTGTTGTTTAATTTTTCGCAAAACTGTCACTTAGTCTTGTACGGAGTGTTCCTTGGTGCCTGATTGTACCAAATATTTATGTCACAAACAAATACAATTTGCAGTTCGGGGAAATTGCCCTCCATTAGAGACGAAGCATGTGCCCCCGAATTTCCTGGTATGGTCGGGTGTGGGAAGAATCAGCTCTCTCTCTTGAAATGCACTCACATGACCACGCTTGTACCGATGTTTATGTGTTTAAATAAATAAATAATAGATAAATTGAAGGTGCCGACAACTGACTCTTGTAAGGGCTGAATTATAAACGCGTGGTAACAAGACTGTAAATACATTTTGCTAGTGAGTGCGGAAAAGCATAACAATTTACGTACATTTTTTCTCTTGGCTTGTAACACATAAATGTTAACAAAATCCACTTACTATCTCTTCCTTAACGAAACCTTGTTCACGTAATGAGCAATAATGATTGTGTGTTGTGAGAGACTTTACAGGAACCCAATGATTCCGTGAGTAGGAGCATCTTCCATATTCGACTGACTAAACATAAAAGAAACCACGTAAAACTCATTAGGATTGGTCGTTCAAATGCGATGAACTAGTATATGGTTTATTTATTCCGAGAACAGACTACTGATGTTTTACGAAAATAAGCACAATCATCCTAAAGTAGCTATTTTGTTTATTAACCCCCTTATTTCTGGACTGGATATTTTTCAAGGCTTTAATAGTCATATCCAAGCCCTAAGCATATTATTATTCTTTAAGACGATTAAAAAGATATCGTTAGAAACCTGAGTTTCCTATACAGCATTGTGAAATACTCATAATCCAAATTATTGAATGTATTGCTAAGCCTGGTTGTGCATTTATCAAAACTTCGTGTAAACACTTATTTCTAAGCAGACCTTGATGATACAGTCCAAAATTCAAGATGGTCAAAATTATTTCTGTTTTATTGTACGAGTAGGAAGGATAATTACAAGCTAGGTATCTCAATAACTTGCATTGAAAGTCATACAACACATTAACAGCTGGAGCTGTAGCGCTGTGGATTGTAAGCTGGGAGTGACGTGTCAGTAAATCTCATTGTAAGAAAAGAATTATGTCTTAGACACTTGCACATTCATTCAAAACCAACTAGGAAGACTTGAGTCAGGTCTGTTCTGAGAATTAGAGAACCGCTTACATCGATAGAAAGAGGGACAAAATGCTTTCGGGATAAATACTGTTGCCATTTTCAATCGCACTTTATGAGGTGATTTCTAGATTTCAGACGCATAAAAAATTGTCAGCCTAACTCCAATGATGTAAGTTTAAATTTCTAACCGTTATTTGTTCTGCCAACTAACTTAAGTTAACGATCACAAATTTTATGGGAAGCTGATCTGAACACACTAAAGGAGAAACCCACAGAATTGTACTCTTAAATATGTGCTTTTCACAAAAGAAGGAAGTTACATTTGAAATCTTCAGACTAAATGATAACGAATACTAATATTGTGTGAATGTAAAGGTAAGTTGGAATGAGTACTCACATGCGAAAGAAACTCATGAGTCCATCCTAAATCTGAGACAAGCTTATTTAGTATTTCTTGTGACTCATCAACCAGCATATTTAAGATACACAACAAACTATGAGCTTTTTGTCCAAGGCCATAAGTTAATATGAGCGCTAATCTATCTTTACAGATTAGCTCGCATAAACGGCAACGCTCCTAGGGTATCGTCCAATGATGGGTTCTTCATGTCACGGTACGATTCTAGATATTTGCTGTCCTCTGATTTTTGTGGTAAAGCTACTTAGATAAAGTGATAATGATGAATTGTGAGTTAGTATTTCTTGATTATGAACGAGTGTATTTATTCTAGGGTATCTAAATTGCTAGGACCAGCAATTATCACATTACCAGGTTGGAGTTTGGTTTCTTTCAGAATGAGACATTTCAAAAGTAGGAAGCTGGGGATAGAAAACAAGATAAATGTACGGATAAGTAAGTTAAGGTGCGCTAATTAAAAGGACAGTGATAAATTCTATAGTTCAGCCTTCAATAATAAGGATAGTAGGTTGGTGAACCTGTATTAATCATGACACATTGCTTTCCAGTGAAGGTCCAGCTTCTCCTTGAAAATAATCACTGATGGGGCTGATACCACTTGTTCGGGTAAGGCGTTTCAATGATTCACTACTCGATGAGAAAAACAGGACCCCACTTTAAGTTTATTAGATCGTGGTTTATGAACCTTCTTGCTATGACCTCGGAGATTATTAATGCTGGAGGGAGTAAAACGATAAGACATATTAACACCAAACCATAATTAAAGATACGAAATGCCAGTATAAGGTCACCTCGTGTCCTACGATACGACAAGGGGAAAAGATTTAGGCGTTTTAAACGCTCATCGTAAGGGAGTTTAGAAAGACCCTTCACTAATTTCGTTCCCACACGCTGGACACGCTCTAGGGAGTTGGTATTCTTTACCAGACACGGGCTAGCTGCTTGGATACAATACTCTAAGTGTGGTCTTACATAGGTGGGATATAAAACTCGAAACGTTTCCTCGTCAAAAGATTTGAACGCTCGGCGAAGTGACCATAACGCACGAAAACCTTTTACAGCGGCTGCTTTGCAGTGCGTAGTTTTTTTTTAAATCATGACTTAATACTACTCCTAAGTCCTTATGCTCTTCAACGCATTGAAGAGGTTTACCCTCAATAGTATAACGGTAACTATTACCGTGACCGATGTGCACTAGCACACTCTTCCGCAAACAATAATTTCGACGACCTAAGTAACAGCGGTAACTCATTAACGTAGGGAAGGAAGAGCAGAGGGCCTAAGATGGTGCCTTGGGGTACACCACTTTTGACCGACTTCCAATCGGATAGCGTTCCGTTGACCCTCACTCTCTGTCTGCGGTCACATAAGAAATTTCCTATCCACTCATGTACAGTACCTATTATTCCAAAGCTCGTGAGCTTCTGTATAAAACCTACGTGTGAAACGTTGTCAAATGCTTTGCTAAAATCTATGAATATCACATCGATCGACAGCCCGTTATCTAGGGCTGCTGTCCAATCCTCCCTCGCAATAAGCAAGTTAGTCAAGCATGAACGCTAGTTACGAAATCCAAGTTGCTCAGGAGCTAACAGATTGTGTAAATCTATGTGACTTAGCAACCTAACCCGAATTATCTTTTCAAGTAACTTAACGACTGTGCTAGTAAGACTGACACGCCGGTAGTTAGATACTATCTGTCGCTGACCGTTCTTAAATATAGGACTGACTATAGCATCATTCCAATCTCTAGAGAGTTGAGCGAGTGAAAGGGACATGTTGAAGAGTGTCGCGAGCGGTTTTGAAATAATGTCCGCAAGAGATGACCGTCAGGGCCCGGTATCTTACCAGGTTTGAGGTTAGTTATCAGCGGAAGGACAGTTTCCTCAGTCACCTGTACAGATTTAATGGTTGATATCATTGTTTTATCGTTAATTATGTATCAAGACTACTGTTTTCACTTCAACTGAATTTATTTCAGTTAAACTGTTTGATTAGAGTATCGGTTCTGTTTCTAAAGTAGTTTGTCGTCGGTGCTTTTGAGTACGTTGTTTTCGATTGTACCTGTTAGTACTTTTCGTTTTAACAATCTGCAGTTTTCAACTATTTTTGGTCATAGATCATTTTTGTCTCTGAGTATTATTGTATCTAGTTCTTTTTTTTAAAAAGCCCCCCCCCTTAATGACTGGACAGTGCAAATAAAGCAATTACCAACGTCCAGGCCGTCGTTACCCCGTTGAAAGCGGCATGCAGTGCGATGAGTGCAAAGGCTTTTACCACGAAGTTTGTACGAATTTACCGACTGCGGCTTTCCAGCGGTTCAGCAAAAACGGTTGCGTATGGCTTTATCAACAGTGCTGTTCGGATGCAAACAGCTTGCTAATCAAGGCCGTCTCATTGGTACGTGCTGCAAAAAAGCGGTTTGTCAAGCGTGGTCGGGAAAAATCGGACAGTACTCGCTCTGTCGACACGCGAATTGGTGTGAAGCAAACTTGGGGGAGTTCAAAAACAGATGACTCACACCGAACAAAGGAGGTAAAACAGTCTTCGAAGTGGTCTGTATTGGCCAAAAACTCAAGAAAAGAAGTTTCTCCTGTCCCCCGTCTTCTAAATGGTATTGAGCAGGAAACTCCTAGAAGCCGCAATCGCAAGGCTCGATCGATTTCTAGCGGGAAACATAACCTGACCTCTCAATTCATTGACAACCCTCTGGAATCTTGCAGTATGTTTGACGCGACTGTGATTGCTTCTCCAATCAACGTTGACGAATGGGTACAAGTTGTAAGGAAGAAACAATATAACGATATAAAAAGGAATCCTGTCCCCATAAAAGTAGTTTAGAAATCGAAGGCTGATCACAGTGACATATCAGTTATTTTTCATAGAATCAAGGAGAGTGAGAGCTCTGAACCAAAAACTCGTTTTGAACATGACATTGTGCTGATAAAACAGCTATTTACACAATTCATGCCTCAAAATATATCCGTAGTTACCCTAATAAATGTGTACATACTAGGTAGTCTAGCGACCTTGAAGCCTAATCAATCCAGACTGCTCAAAGTAGTATTCAAATCTTCGAATGAACGCGACTTAATTTCAAAGAATGAACATAAATTAAAGGGTTCAGGAGTTTTTATTTGTAAGGCCGCTGGCAGACCGTGTAAGAATATGGGAAGCCGAAAAAGAATTACTGCTTAGGTTAGGCGCTGGAGCAAAAGACATAAAAATTGTAAATTTCGGGTTGTGAGGCTTCGACAGAGAATGATGCCGAAGCCTCCTTGGGTTAAGCTGGAAGCCACTTGAATAGGCTTTGGATCTATTACACCAACGTATGAAGCTTGCTCAATAAGCGATCGAAACTAGGTGTACAGTTTGACTCTACAAAGCCAGACATAACCGCAGTCATAGAGACCTAGCTGACACAGTGTATAGATAGTATGGAATGTGATTTCGAGGGTTTTACGTTAGTAAAGGCCGAAAAATACAAAAGCATAAAGGAGGGGTAGTAGCTCTATTCATTGGGAATGCTATCCCATTTGCCACTATTGACAGTGTATCCCATGAGAGTGGGACGTGTGTATTAGTTAGTCTCCGCTTGAAATGCAAGGGACAAGAGCTACTGATTGGTTTGGTCTATCGTAGTCCAAGCTGTGAGGTAAATGAGGTCCTGTTAAGCAGTCTCAATACTTTGTCACAAAGTGGTCGATGTCTAATCCTAGGGGACTTTAATGCACCTATGGTAGACTGGGGAAATCTGCGAACTCAATCGTCAGATAATTCCTTCGAGCAGGAACTAGTTGGTGCGGTTATCCCATGTGCTCTAGTACAACATGTGAAAGAAGCGACTAGGTACGACCTGGACACTGAATCATCCTTACCAGATCTTATATTGACTCACTATGGGGATGACGTTGCGAATCTCCATTATATGCCACCCCCAGGTAAATGTGATCACGCAGTTCCAACTTTCGATTTCCACATAGCCGTCAGTCACGAACACGCGTTAGCTCAACCCAGACCTAACGTCTGAAAAGCAAACATACCAGATATCATGAACTCAACATCGTTAGTAGATTGGACAATAGACCCAAAGTCCTCAAATGAAAAGCTTGGGACGCATTTCGAAATTTATACTTAAAAGGTACCTCAACCTACATCCTTTGGACTATACCAAGAGGGCCGAGAAACTCTCCACGGTTGTTCACTAGGGAGGTCCGCATCCTTTTCGGCAAGAGAAGGATAGTGTGAAATACATTTAGGTTACTGGGGACTGATGAGACAAAATCTCAGTATCACAAAGCTTGAAATACCTGTGTCTTGACCCTCCGTAAGTCTAGAAAGTTTTAAGAAGAAGACTTCCTAGCTGGGCGCCAATAAAGAGTACAGATGAACTCAAAGTTATCTAGCAGGAAATCTGTGCTTAGAGGAGTGCCTCAGGGTTCAGTTTTGGGGCCAGTGCCATTCCTCTTGTATGTAAAGGACCGTCCTCGTCTCGTATCATCATCTGCATTGCTATATGCTGACGATGTCAGGATATGGAGAATGATACGACGTAAGGGTGATAGCTTAGAACTCCAAAGTGACCTGAAGAAATTATCTGAATGATCTCAAACCTGGCAGTTGCCGATAAATACTTCCAAGTGTGTTGTGATGCATATCGGTCATAAAAGCACAGACACATACACGACGAATAACACTGAGCAACCTGTCGTCCATAATGACTTGGAAGTAATCGTTAGCCAAGACTTAAACAATACTGCACACTGCCGTGCAATAGCCGTCAAAAGTTTTAAAACGTTATGGTCAATACGTAGAGCTATAAGTCATTTCGACGCTAAAACGTTTTTGACTTTGTATACAAAGTTCGTACGTCCTAAACTTGAGTGCTACATACAAGCGGCTAGCCCCTGCTTAAAAAAAGACAGTGAGCTCCTGGAACAGGTTCAGAGAACAGCAACTAAGCTGATTTCCGGGATAGCGAAGCTTCCGTATGAAGTTCGACTGGCCAAGCTGAACCTTTTCCCGTTTGTCATATCGTAGATCTAGAGGCGACCTAA